GGATCATGCCCTGGTCTGGCATCACCTGTGACTGTGAGCCCAAGCCTACTTCATCGTGGAATCTATGAACCTTCCTCCTCACTAACAAGCTAATGCCATGGCCTCTAGTTTGGCTTTTATCGGCACCAAAGAGGCTTCGGGGAGTCTCCTCCTTTTCTTCTGGATTGGGAAGTTTCTAGTCATTCATGGTGGGAAAGTACTTCCGAAAGGATAGTGGTGAAGATCTTTCTGTGCCTTATTATGAAATGAATTGGACTCAGATTGGACTGTAGGCCCATAGCCTATGAAATGACTAAATATTAATGTGCCTGATTTAAGGTCTTACCAATACAGTACTCATATGCTTGGACAGGGCAGTGGAAATGGAAGCGTGTTTTGCTTTTGGTTGAAAAACAAAGAAAAGTAGACTGGCCCAGAGATTTTCCAGGAGGGGGAGCCCTTGTTCCTTGTTCCCATTCAAAGCTGTGAGAGTTTGCATCATCTGTGACTAAGTTACAACAGAACAAAAACAATCATTGCTATATGTCAAGCTAAGCAAATAGGAGAATATTGTCATAATTTCTGTTTGGCATTATTACTTTATCCCACAGAATTAACTCTTTACCTATATGGAACTCAGTTTTGTAGGAGAGTTTCTTTATAATTCCTACCGTGGTTTTGATGGTTATAGACATTGTATATGTCCTTTTGGCAAGATGCTAGGCTAACCTCTATTTTAGTTTTAAGTTAGAAGGAAAATATAAAACAGAATTAGGAATATGACCTCCTTATTTAACTGTATTTTCTCCTTAGCTTTAATCTTCCCCATTCTTTTCTCCAAGTCCTTTCTTTAGAGAAACATATGATTGACAGTACTCACACCCTATTTTGCAGTGTGTTAACTTCTTGAGTAGTTAACGTACTACAATACCATCATTATTAGCTTTCAGAACAGTTTTCAGTACATCAGTGCGCATCAGACCAACTAAGCTGGAAACTCTTCTCTTGACATCTCTTCTTATTTTCCCACAACTTGTAGCACGAAACTGGACACCTTGATTCCTGACAAATGTTGTATTAGTCTGTTTTCATGCTGCTAATAAAGACATACCTGAGACTGGGTAACTTATGAAGAAAAAAGGTTTAATTGATTCACAGTTCAGCATGACTGGGGAGGCCTAAGGAATCTTAGAGTCATGTTGGAAGGGGAAGCAAACACGTCCTTCTTCACATGGAGGCAGCAGGGAGAAGTGCTGAGCGAAAGAGGGGAAAGCCCCTTATAAAACCATCAGATCTCGTGAGAACTCACTTACTATTGTGAGAATAGCAGCATCGGGGTAACCACCCTAATGATTCAATTACCTCCCATCGGGTCCCTCCTATGACATGTGTGGATTATGGGAACTATAATTCAAGATGAGATTTGGGTAGGGACACAGCCAAACCATATCAAATGTTAAAAATGGTCATTTAACAGGTGACCGGATTTTAAAAAAACAGATAGGAGTGATGGCTAGGAACCAGGGTAGGTTCACCTAAAACAAGTTACCCCAAACTAACCTAATTCAAAAAATACTATTCTGGGCATGTTGATTCTGAATTTCAGTAATATTTTTCACCCCAAATTTCTCATGTTATTTTTGTGGATAGGATAGAATTAAGCCTCAAAGAATATAGTTATATGACTTTACAAATGGTTAAATAAAACATATTTAATATGTTTTATATAATACCTGAAAAAAGTATTAACATTAATTTGTAGAGAGATCTCTGGTAGTTTGCCATAGCTTTATTGGTTTAATTAAAAAAATTTTTGGTACATTTAGCCTTTTTAAAAAAATGTGTATTTGCCTACAGCTTTAGAAGAATATATAAAAGGCATGTGTTTGAAATTTTCTGATGACACAAAGCTGGGAGGAATATCTAATGCTTTAGATAGTACACTCAAGATTAATTTTTTTTTTCATTAGGCTGGTGTAATAGGAAATATGAAAGATGTTATACAGAAATATTTTAAAAACCAACTATAAATGTATAGGAAGGGAAACATGATTTAATAGTGATTTATGTAGCAAAGATCTAGGAATTCTTGTTGATTAAAACTTAATATGAAGACATAGTGAGACACAATTGCCAGAATGCCAATGAAATCTTTGGACATGTCAATATAATAGTTCAGAAAACAGAACATCAAAGTCCTTACTATACATAGACTTGTTGAGGCTGCTCTGCAGTTGTGTTTGGTTCTGGGCATCATGTTTTAAGAGAGATGCAGAGAAACTGGGATGGATCCAGAAGAGCCTGACTGGGAAGAAATGCCTGTAAAATAAATCATGGAGAATAGTTGAAAGGTTTGGGAATGTCCAAGTCAGCATAAGTATTTATGGGAGTCCTATGAGTGGTTTTCAAGTATTTGAAGGTTATCAACATAGAAAGGCCTTAGACTTGGTCTAGGTGACCCCAGGAATGGAATTTGCTATGTGGCAAGAAGACACGTCTCAAAAGAAGACATACATGTGGCCAACAAATATATGAAAAAATGCTAAATATCACTAATCATTAAAGAAATGCAAATCAAAACCACAATGAGATACTATCTCACACCAGTCAGAATGGCCATTATTAAAAAGTAAATAAAATAAAATAAAATAACAGATGTTGGTGAGGTTGCAGAGAAAAAGGAATGCTTATACACTGTTGATAGGAGTGTAAATAAGTTCAGCCATTATGGAAAACAGTGTGGCGATTCCTCAAAGAACCTAAAACAGAACTAGTATTTGACCCAGCAATCCAATTACTGGGTATACACCCAATGGAAAATAAATCGTTCTACCATAAAGACACATGCACTTGTATGTTCATTACAGCACTATTTACAATAGCAAAGACATGGAGTCAACCTAGATGCCCATCAATGGTGGACTGGATAAAGAAAACGTGGTACCTGTACACCATGCAATACTACACAGGCATAAAAAAAGAATGAAACATGTCTTTTGCAGCAGCATGGGTGTGGCTGGAGGCCATTATCTGAAGTGAATTAACACAGGATCACAAAACCAAAGACTGCAAGTTCTCACTTATGAGTGGGGTTAAACAATGGGTATTCATGGACATATACGGCAGCAATAGACACTGGGGATTACTAGAGTGAGTAGAGTGGAAGGGTGGGGGTAATGGTTGAAAAACTACCTACTGGGTACTAATGCTTGTTACCAGGGAGAGTGAATGTCCCAGCTCTTGTCTAACTTGGAAGAAAGATTTCAACCAAGAGACAGTAGGAAGACAGTGAAAAATTTTATTGAAAAGAAATATAGTGTAAAGAGCTTATTGTAGGAAAAAATGGGTACACCTCAAAGGAGGAGTGGGATGATCCTGTGCGAAAACAGTTCCAAAGGTTCTGTGCAGGGAGCTTTATCATGTTGGACTTTTTCTGCAAATTACTGCCCCTGTCTCAAGTCTCCACCTTTCTCCTTTGCCTCGTTTTTCCTGCTCCTGCCTTAACTCCTCACCTAGGCTTGTGGGACCCTCCCTTACTGTTGGTTAATGTGCATGTGTGGGCTGGTGATCAATACAAATCCTGTCTGATGGTGGCCCTGCTCATTGCTACCATCCTAGAAAGGTTGTATAGTGGTCAAATCTATACCTGTTGGGCCCGCATATCTCTTTGGAATTTCCTTATCTGTCCTAATTTGTACTTGTGGTGCCAGGTTTCTCTTGGTAATGTCCCCTTTGCCCGTCTTTTTCCTTTTTTTTTTTTTTTTTTGGAGGAGTCTTGCTCCATCACCCAGGCTGGAGTGCAGTGGTACAATCCCAGCTCACTGTGACCTCTGCCTCCTGGGTTCAAGTGATTCTCCTGCCTCAGCCTCCTGAGTAGCTGGGACTACAGGCGTACACCACCATGCCTGGCTAATTTTTGTATTTTTAGTAGAGAGGGGGTTTCATCATGTTGGCCACTCTGGTCTCGAACTCCTGACCTCAGGTGATCCACCCACCTCTGCGTCCCAAAATGCTGGGATTACAGGTGTGAGCCATTGTGCCTGGCCCCCTTTGCCCTTCTTATTAGCATGTTGCTAACGACATTCTGACATTTTAACTGCAGAATGAATGATTATTGGGGTGTCTTAAGAGGCATTCCGTGGTGTTTCTTTCTGTATGGCTACCTCCTCTTTCTCCTACCCACATGTGATTAAGTGCTCCCAACCCCCACAAGCATTAGAGATGGCATTAATATGCAAATTTTAGGTGGTCCCTCAGGTGTGAGCCTTCCCAGAGGTTTCCTTTCCCAGGAGCTCCCCTCCTGTTCATGTCTAGCCCTCTACCCACTCTAACATGCTCTTTACCTGGTGACAGGATCATTCATACACCAAACCTCAGTGACACATAGTTCTCTCATGTGACAATCCTGCACACATGCCCCTGAACCTAAAATAAAATTGGAAAAAAAAAGTTGTTAAAATTAAAAAAAGAAGTTACAGGGAGGCAGGTTTGAATTTCTCATAATAAGGACCATTCTAGCAATTCCCATTCTGAAATGGGGACAGGCTGCCTTGTGAGGCAGTCAGTTTCCCATCACAGAAGACCTTCTAAGAAAGACCTAGGAGCCCCTTGTCAGAGGTAGCTAAAGGGGTCATGCTTTGGGAAGGTGGACCAGATGATTTCTGAAGTTCCCTCCTGCCTTGCAAGCCCCAACAGGAAGGAACTCAGTACCTGCATACAGTAGGTACTCAAGCAATGACTGCCAAATAGTTGAGTGCCTGACTCAAAAATCTCAGGGGTAGACTTTTGCATTTGATACATATTTTGTCACAGGTGAGTTTATGGCATGGACCAGTAATTTCACCTAGTATCAGGAGCGTATCATCTTGGGGAAAATGAAGGCTTTGAGTCACACAGAGTTGAAATTTCCTAGATAACTGGCTTATCTTTCTTACTCTGGCTCAGGCTTGTAGGTTTTAGAGCTCTTTCTGATAATGAGCAATGCCTTGCCCCAAACTAACATGATGCTATTTCTTTTTCAGGATAATCGTATCCACACATCGAAATATAATATTCTCACCTTCTTGCCAATTAATTTATTTGAACAGTTCCAAAGAGTGGCAAATGCCTATTTTCTTTGCCTTCTGATTTTACAGGTAATATTTAGGTTGTATTTCTTTATTATCTGTTTGTTTAAAGTATTCATATGCTTTTAAAAAGTAGGTCAATTTACTTAGCTAAATGTTTGTGATTAGATAAAATCATCCTTTATCAGATTTTTAATCTTGTTGTTGCTGTTTCTCTTCACAAACGTGGGAGGGGTAGGAATGGTTAAAAAGTAGTACATTCATCATTTTAAACACTGAGGTCACTTTAAAACACAGCCTTGCACTTTATTTGAACCAAACCAGAGCCTAATAATTACTGTTCATAGCCTCCCTCCTTTCTTTATCTCCCTCTTACATCTACAGGGTGGGGATTGCCAGAGTTGAGGCAAAGAGTCTTAGCTGACTAAGACTGAGTAAGTTGTGGAGCTTAATTTTGCACATTTAATTTTCATTTAAGAACAGTGACATATTTTTAATATATGTAAAGTAAGTGATGATGCTATATATTATTTCACTGTAGGGTGACTACTTTTGCAGTTTTGAATGGTTAATTGGTAGTTAATAACCTTTGCTTTTTATCCCGTCTGACTAAAATTTGCCCTTAAATGAAATTTCAGATTTTATGGATATTTTGGGAAGGAAAAAATATAAATCAAGGAAACTACATACATATATACACATACATACTGTACACACACATAAATAATTCATGTTAGCCAGTTATTTACCTAGTATTTATGTTAGCGTACTTTAACCAGATCAAACTGGTAGGTCGAGAATGGCTAAGAAGTAAGAAGATGGATTAGATTAATAGATTTGAGTACTGTCTTCTCTTTAATTGAATATCTATTTAAGAATCTTTATGTTTTAAGTGACAGAAATCTTAGTTTAAGCAAAAGACGAATATATTCATGGGTATCTCATTTCAAGTATTACTGGATTCATGGGCACAGTTTCATCAGGATGTGGCTTCTCTTCTCTGTTTTTTTTTTTTTTTTTTTTTTTTAACACATTGACCTTTCTTAGGTAGGCCCTTTCTACTTGGTGGCCCTGACAGCTTCCTAGTTCCAACTCAAGTCAGAGAGAGAGAGAGAGAGAGAGAGAGCAGGGAGGGGAGGGGGAAGCGGAGAGAGAGAGAGAGAGAGAGAGAGAACGAATGAGGGAATTACTTTTTCTGTTGCTCCAGCAAAAGTCTTGAGATTAGTTCTGATTGGAGCTATATCTTCATTCCTAAACCTGTTACTGTGGCTCAAGAGTTTGATTCAGTAATTGGCTTAACCAAGATCATATGCCAAACCCTGGATCCATGGTAGAATCAGTTTCCTAAAATTATATGGACAGAAAGTGAGGGGATATGATGTTTCCCTAAGAAATAGGAGTATATTTAGAAGAACTGGGTGCTGATCAGGAAAACAGAAGCCGATAATGAATAAACACCTTACTATTTATTGAAGAAAGCTTAGAGCCCAAGATTTCTCCTCCCACCTCTCCCCATGAAATCGTTTTTGGTTTCTTCAAGTAACACTTCACACCATTCCAGAATTTTGAATTTATTTCTCTAATGGCTTTCTCATTTGTGGCCAAAGGCTCTTCTTCATAGAATTGTATATATAGAAGGGAACTTTGGGATGGTTCAGTCTAACCTCTCCTTTCTTTATTGATGAAGAACTTAGACCCAGAGAGATTAGGTGGTAAGGCTTTCACTGTGAGTTGATGATGAACTAGGACTAGAATTTAGCTTTTCTGACACCAAGCTCAATATTTTTACTGCTACATCAGAGGCTTTTGAGTTTTTTTTTAAAAAGTCTTATGTAGAAGCTACTGTATAAGATTGATTTAGAGTTGTTTTGATGGGGCCTGATCTTTAGCCACTGACCATCTCTACCCCATCCTTTCCTGCCTGATGGCCCTGAAGCAGCTCCAAAATGAATCCCATTTGAAACCACTTGTCTAAGAGATTTATGTCACTGTGTCTCTCTTATGTGGGTGGCTTTGGATATATAGGCACAAGGGAATAGGCCTTGGAGTCCAAGAGACCTAGTTTCAAATTTTAACAGTATGTGATCTTGGCCCAGTTGCATGATCTCTTAGGTTCTTCATTTATAAAATGGGGACATGATACTCAGGTCTGCAACATTTCCTGACTCCTGGTCACCATTCATAATGTAGTATTCTGTGTTGTGTACTGGGGGTACTATTTATGTGGAATACAAACCTTCTGGGATTATACAAAAGCAATGCTAGTAAGAATCTAACTCAGTGAACTTTTCCGAGGATTAAATGACATGATAAATGGAAAGTACCTGGCACAGTGTCTGGTGCAAGGCAGATGTTCAAATAATCTCTCTTTGGGAATTGGTAAAAAGAGTAGTTAGTAAAATTGTTAAAAGTTGAGATGAAAAGCTGAAAAAGATGGATGAAATTTAACATATTGGAGAAGGTGATCATCTGTGAAAGATTTCAAGAAGCTTCTCCCTTGCTATAAAAATTTCAGTTTTCAGTTAGGTAGTTTGAAAACAAGTTCAATAATACTTCTACTTTATGTGTCTTATAACCAAATACAAACACTTAAATTATTGAAAGTCAATCTTCATTTGTAAAAATAAATCAATATAACCCCATTAATTTCTGCTAAGTCTTATAAAATTAAATGACACAATTTGGAAGATATATTTTCTAACTTTAAAAGCCCTAAACTATTTGGAATGTTTGTTTCAGCTAATTCCAGAAATCTCCTCCTTGACCTGGTTTACCACCATTGTGCCTTTGGTCTTGGTGATAACTATGACAGCTGTCAAAGATGCCACAGATGACTATGTGAGTATTTGCTCTTGAGCATTCTTGAGGTCTCAATTTCAGTTATGGCTTCTCAGAAATAGATAATGAAGATACATTTGAAATTTTGAATGAAGTTATTTTGGTCAATATCATATAAAGCTATTTTGCTATTTGTTTGATGATTAATACAGGTACCATAGAACCAGAGCCTGTTTAAAAGCAAGAGGGTTTCAATAACTAGATTCACTTTCTTCTTTTATAGATGAGAAAACGAAAGCCTAGAAAGAGCTAATGATTTGCTAATAATATGACCAATTTGTGGAAGAGCAGAATTAGAAATCAACCTGCATTCACTCAGTGAAGTGTTACTTATTCTTCATCACATGTCTTTGTTTAAGTTGTGAGAGTTGGTAAATATTAGGTATTCTCATACATGCTTGTCGTTATGTTAGGAGTTACAAAGTCAAATATAGTTGACCCTTGAATGATGTGGGGGTTAGGGACACCAATTCCCTGTGCAGTCAAAAATTCGTGTATAACTTTTGACTCCCTCAAAATCTTTACTAATAGCCTATTGTTGGCCAGAAGCCTTACCAATAACATAAACAGTTGATTAACACATATTTTGTATATTTATTATGCACTGTATTCTTACAATAAAGTAAACTAGAGAAAAGAAAATGTTATTAAGAAAATTATAAGGAAGAGAAAATATATATGCTATTCATTAAGTGGAAGTGGATCATCATAAAGGTTTTCATTCTTGTCATCTTCATGTTTAGTAGGCTGAGGAGGAAGAGGAAGAGGAGTGATTGGTTTTACTGTCTCAGGAGTTGCAGAAGCAGAGGAAGGGGAAGCAGGAGAGCAGGCACACTCAATGTAGCATTTAGAGAAAAAAAAATCTGTGTATAAGTGGACCTGTGCAGTTCAAATTTATGCTGTTCGAGGGTCAACTGTAGCTTCAAAAGTCAGGAAACTAATGTAAATAAGTCAGGTATAAGGCAATAGATAGTTTTAAAGTCTGCATAATCCAAAGGAAGTAATTCTCAGTCAAAGACAAAACACAGTCTTGGGAAAACCAAACATTCTAAATCCAGACAAATTATATTTTCATCCTGAGTGATTACATGTGCCCCCTCAATAACTGTCTAAGCCAATGAGTTACAGGTTTATATTCCTAGCCCAAGTCACTCCTCTGAGCTCACACCTGTATTTCCTGTTGCCTATTTTTAACCTATCTGTATCTTTAAAATGGTTTTCTTTTAGACAGCATATATAGTAGGGTAATAATTTTTAATAAAATCTGAAAATCTCTACCTTTCAGTTGGAATATTTAACCCATTTATGTTAATATAATTATTATTATGATTAGGCCATCTATCATCTTGCTGTTGCTTTCTATATGCCCCATTGGCTCTTTGTTCTATTTTTCTCTGCCTACTTTTAGATTAATTGAGTATTTTTTTTTGTGATTCCATTTTATCTTTATTATTGGCTTAACAGACATACTTTTTCATGGTTGTTTTAGCCTGTAATAGTCTATCTCAAGTAATCCGACTTCAGAACCCTGGCACTTACTCACCACACCCCTCTGTGCTAAGCTATGTGGATAATGCAAAAATGAAAGAGACACAGAAACTGAAGTTAAAAAAAGCTTAACATTCAATAGAGGGAGATGGGTCATGTACATGAATAACAATAATATGAGATAAAAATGGTGTGAAATTCATAATTTAAAAGAACCAAAGTGCTTTGGTTCTTTGAGGAAGGAAGATGACCTTCAGTAGCTAGATTGATAACAGAGGTGGGATATGTGAAAGAGAATTAGGGAAGACATTATGGAGAAAGTGGGAACCCACTCCTGCTAAGAGTAGTTGAGTATGGTAAAGACATATGGGAAGATTTGTACTTATCAAGTTGGTTTATGTGATGTTTCCTCATAGTTATCTTACATATAATTTTTTGATAAATCAACAATTTGATGCAAGTCACTTTAAAATAGGACACATACACACAAATAATGTACTTGTCTTCATATATCATTTTTTAAAGAATACACAGGATACACTCTTCATTTCTTAATGAAATTTCTAGCCTATTTCATGGTTCACATTTTGACTATAACCTTTGAGGTTAGGTTTTTTTTTTTTTTTTGAAACAGAGTCTCACTCTGTTACCCAGGCTGGAGTGCAGTGGCATGATCTTAGCTCACTGCACCTTCTGCCTCGCAGGTTCAAGCAATTCGCCTGCTTCAGCCTCCTGAGTAGCTGGGACTACAGGCATATGCTGCCACGCCTGGCTAATTTTTTGTGTTTTAGCAGAGATGGGGTTTCACTATGTTGGATTTTTTTTTTTTTAATTTTAAATTTTTTTTTTTGAGACGGAGTCTCGCTCTGTCACCCAAGCTGGAGTGCAGTGGTGCGACCTTGGCTCACTGAAACCTCTGCCTCCTGGGTTCAAGCAATTCTTCTGCCTCAGCCTCCTGAGTAGCTGGGACTATAGGCACGCACTACTACATCTGGTTAATTTTTTGTATTTTTAGTAGAGACGGGGTTTCACCGTGTTAGCCAGGGTGGTCTCAATCTGACCTCGTGATCTGCCTGCCTTGGCCTCCCAAAGTCCTGGGATTACAGGCGTGAGCCACTGTGTCTGGCCCCGGATTTTTAACAAACACATAGGATCCATCCACACTGATGAGTCATATCACATTAAAGTGGTTAGCGTCGAATGTTCCTGGAGTTTACTGATTCCTGTGAGGTTGCCATTGTTCAAGGTACTTTGGGAGCTCTTCTTATAGAATTGTCTTCTGAAGGTCAGTGTACAAGGTAGTTGTATGACTTAATGGCTTCACAGCTTTGGAAACAAATGCTACTTCTCAGCCTAATCAAAAACCTTATCAACCAGACATGCTTTCTAAGAGTGGCTTTCTTATATTTCAAAACATAAGACATCTCATTATGTCTTTTCAAAGGACATAGAGCTCGATTCTCAAAGGATAGAGAACATTCTGGAGAACGGGCTATGAGCTCCAGAGGTAATTCTAAGAGAGGAAATTTCAACAATCATTTGAGCAATGGCATCTTTGGAGTAAATGTGTGGTTTTTCCATGTTATCTGATTTTTCAGGGAAATGGTACTCATTTAGATGTATGAGTTCCTACATATTGGCCTTAAAGGTCTTCATTATAGTCACACTTCATAGAAGAATAAATGGTAGAGTAGAAAGTATATTGGCTTTGGAGAAAGACACCTTACTACCCTACCACCTTACCTTACCGTGTACTGACAGTTTGACATGAGGCAAATGACTTAACTTCTCAAACCTTTCCTTTTCTGTATAACATGGCCAATGACACCAGCACTGTTGGGAAGACAGAATGAGATGATATGGGTAAAGCATCAGGTATAGAACCTGACTCACAGGGAATACACAATGAATGTAGCCCTCTACTCACTTTCTTTCCTGTAGAAGTTCCCCTCTATGACTTCATATTTATTTCTAGAGGAGAAATTGTCAATAATAGTCAGGCTGGGCTTGAAACTACCATTTCTAATTCTTCCAGGCTCCATCTACTCCAATATCAAGTCCTCTTGGTAAAACCTGAGCAGAAGTAGAAGTGGTTGCATCTCCCAGAGAGTGAACTGCTCAGCTTTTGGGGGATGAGCTGACTGGTCTTTTTCTGTGATGTTGAGCTGGTCAATTTAGGAGATTTACGTGACTACACAAAAAGTCTCCTTTTGATTCTGTTGCAGTTAATGCTTGAATGTGCCTTCACTTTTGTGATGTTATGTGCCAGTTCATTAACTGGACACCTTCACCAGTCAGGGTCTTGGCAAAACACAGAAGTCACCCTGAAATTGGGTGGATTGGAGAGTTTAATAATGAAGGGATCATTTACAAAGGGTGTGGGCATGGAAAAGCAGCTATGACAGCAACATGGGTGGCAATACTACTAGAATTAAAGAGGCAAAGGAAGGAAGCAGTGACCAGACATGGAGATGTAGTTGAGGCCTGTTTGTAGCAGCTGAGGCTATCTGTGGAAGCAGCCATTGCTAACCCAGCTAGAAGAAAGCCAGGGGATAAATTCCCTCATTTCATTCTTCTCTGACCCTTGAATCTTCTGCCTGTACTGTCTGTTGGCCAAATATTACCAGAAGTCAGAGGGCAACGACCACAGAGCCCAGCTTTTCATGGCACAGGGCAGACTGGTGAAGAATGCCATGTAGATATGGTGGAGGAGAGAATATTCAGCAACCCCTCCAAATTATGCACTCAGATCAAATAATGTTTCCATTTCTATTGTTCTACTGGTAGAAAGTTTTCATGTCAGTGGGTGACGTGACTTAATTTACTCCTTTACCAGTATTATAAACCATTTTTATGTTAACAAATGCTAAATAGCTTTGTTTTCTTATTTTTACTGGTAATATCTATTAACTTATACCTGCCATTCTGAGTTTGCACTGGGCATAGCATAATAGAAAGATTGGGATGGATTTGGGAATGCTGTAGAAAAAGGAAAAGAGCTGGTTGAAGCATTTTATATTTTGTGATTTTGACACAACATTTTGTATTTAAGAAAAAAAGAAAACATTCTGATGATTAAAATCTATGAAATCAAAGTTTCTGTCTCCTGAACAGACTACCCTATTCATCTGTGCATGTAGGCTAATTTGCTGAAATAACTGTATTATAGCCTATTACTAATGGTATTACCATTTTCTCTATATTACCTTTATTTCTCTTACAGCTACTACCTGATCATGACATTTCACATAGAAAGACTTACCTGAATGACTCCTAATTTATGAGCATAGTAGGGAGCTCTTAATAGATTCTTTCAAGCTATATAAGATACTTACATTACTGGAGTATACAATAAGAAATACAATCATTTGGACATAAATCACAAATCTGCACCAAATGTGTTTCAGTATTGGATTCTAATTTTTGTTTTAAATGCTCAGTACTTCATAAGATCACTGTTAACAATTAGAATTTCTGGAGAATAAAAATTCATGTTGTTACAAATAACTTCTTGACTTCAAAGAAATCCATAAAACAGAAAGAATGATGTTCTAATAAAGCATTGAGTACACATGGGAGAGAAATGGAAGTCCCATTCCTTGTTAAAGACATCAAAATTAATACATGGTTTTCTCTGAGACTATAAGGTACAGTAGAGAGCATATTGTCTTCTTAGAAGCAGCTAAACGTGTGCGGAGATTGGAAGAGTATGTGGCTAGCCCTGTTGTTTCATTGGTGACATCCAGAGTGTAATGTAGTGAGAAGGGTTTTGATTTAGATTTAGAACATGTAGAGCTGGGTTCACAGTAAGCCCAAACAGTGTCATCTTAGACCAATGACAGCACTGTTTAAGTGGATGAACTCAAAGTATTGCCAGTGTGCTTATTTGGGCTGACAAAGTACCTTGTAATGTATTTTCTCACAAACACTTTGATTTTTCAGTTTCGCCACAAGAGTGATAATCAAGTGAATAATCGGCAGTCTGAAGTGCTCATCGACAGCAAGTAAGACATACGTTCTTTGGGTTATTCTGAAAACTTCTAGGACCCTGAAACAGCTCTTGACAATTGGTGACATTCTCTTTTAATTAGATATATGATTCTTTTTGCCCTTTATTAAAAATTGAACTTTAATTCCATTTTATCTTCATGGCTTTCTTTTATGTTTAGCAAATGCTTCTGCTACCCACTCAACTTTGACTTCAGATTCCTTTGGAGTACCTTTTGTGGAACACAGACACCTCTTTGTCACTTTCCATTTCTAGATCCAATACTATTTAGAATTGGTGCATGTGGGGTTTTGTATGTGGCAGATGTTTCATGAGTGTGTGAATTATTTAATTTGGTAATTTCTGGGGAATATTGTAGAGAGACTTCTGACACGTTACTGTATCAAGTGATAGTGATAAGAATTTTGTATTCACTTGATAGTGGAATTTAGATGAGCCACCTACCATAGTACAAATTTTTCATTGCTTTTATATTCATCCATCGATGAAGAAAAAGTATTTTTGGGAACAGTACTAGAATCAGAAATGCTTTAAAAACACATGTGTTTATACACAAATGACAGCAAAAACACCTCCAGAAAACTTAGCAGAGGTAATTTTAAAACTTCTTTCCATAATTTCTTACTCTCTTTTTCACTGTCCACCTCCTTATTTTTTTGCTAATGATAACATGTGGCAAAGTAAATTTTAATGATGTACTTAAATCTGGCAGTCAATCACATCAGGCAATGATTTTGAATCATTTGTGTACTGTGAAGAATGTAATTTTTAAAGAGAAAATCATAAAATGAATTAACCATATGTGAGGGAAAATGCTAAAGATATCAAGAGGGGCTAGGTAGCCTAGGAAATCCATGGTGATATTGAAGTAATCGCTATAACTAAAATATTGACTGATTACTAATTACATAATGAATACCTACAGTTTTTCTTTTGACTTGTTTTAGAAAATGATATAAAAAGGACAGTGAAGAAAAATGATCTCAATCTAAAACCATAGTTTTAGAGACAGAGCCTTGGAAAGTGTGATCCTGATGTGACATGGATAAGCCATAAAGGTGCCTGGACCCCCATGGTTCAATTCCAGGTTAACGGGTTTTGAATCGTTGCCACCACAGTGTGGTGTTAAAAGTATGCATTTTGCACTGAGAGACTTAAATATGAGTTTTGTCCTTCTCTGAATAATTCTGTGGTCTTGGGAAAGTTTTTAATCTCTGTAAGCATTGGATTTCTCCTCTGTAAGGTGGGGTTATAATGGGTTCTCTCCCATGGATGGAGTTGCTGTGAAGGTTAAAGGAGTTCTGTAAAACGCTTGGCCCAGTGTCTTGTGTGTTGTTAGCATTCTCCATGTAGTCTTGTTACTTCTTTAAAAGGCTCTTTAGAAGACAGAGTGTGTGTGGTTTTGGGTAGTACTGCTGCATATCTTGACTTTCTCAAGTCTGAAAGTTCTGACTAGGTATTAGATCTGATGTTAATACGTTCCTTTCCCAAGGAACATCTAATCATCAGTCTCATTACTTTGAAGTCTCATCTCATATAAAGTGTGTTAAAAGTAAATACACTTACATAGTGAATTTGAACTAATAACTCTAGCATATCTTTTATTGTCTCTCAAATTACTGGTTAAAATACCTGGATTGTGATAGATGTTGGGGCCTCTATTTGGAGGCCATGAGATTAATCCAGTAACTTAGATATTCAGAAATTTGATGACTATATGTCTCCCACACATGGTGGCTATCATTATCATTATCATTTGAAATAGTGTTAGTGTACTTTCTTGTGGTTTTATTTAGCTTTTTGTTAATTCCTTGTGAGATAGTATGTCTTTATAACTCAATATGGTGCGATGTTTTGAAAAGCATTGTCGCTGATCCTGTAAAGTTGAATTGAGAATGGAACGGAGTATTTTTTAGGATTCAGTGAAAAATCAGGCAAAAATGTCCATTTGAGAGATTACCCACAACCTTGAGCTCCCCTAGGGTAGGGGTCCTCTCTCTTGATGGTGTTTGTGTCCCTTGAGCCTACCACAGTATCTGTTGAATTTTCAAACTAAGCTGTAACAAGTGTCCTTGCAGAGAGGGCAACCTACAAGACGGGCTTGTTCTGTTAAATTTTGCTAAATCCCATCATTAGCCAATTCCAGTGCATAGGATGGTGGTTTCTGTAGAATGTGCTCAAGCTATGGAGACTGGCTTTTCACTTTTTGGATTTTGAGATACTGGGGAAATCAAATGGGCTTAGATCTGAACTAGTACAAGGAGTGTTGAGTCCTGTGGAGTTGGTGGTTATGGAGGATAATGTTGGGGTTCTGCCCAGATCTCCCTGTCTTCCTGTACTCATCCCCAAGCACCCATGTATATTACTTCTAAGAGCTTGCACCTGCCACTTTCTTCATGGCATGGCCCTTGGGATGTTGGACCCGGTGACCAATTGGGGCAGGCACGTGAAACAGCAGCTCCCCTGCCTCAGGTTGGACCAACTCTGAGGTGTAATTTGCACTCCTGAGTGCCCCTCGAGCTTGGGCTGAGGACAGGACTTGCCTGCAATCATGTTCTTGCTTGGTTTCTTTCCCTTTCCTGTGTCGGTTCTCATCTCCCTTCCCAGTTTCTCCTAGAAATACTTTCTTAACAAATCACTTGCTTGTGGATACTCATCTCAGGATCTGCTTCCAGGGAAGCAGGTATGAGATAGTAAATGCATAATTAAGCCCATGGCAATATTAAGAGAAAATATTTTAAAAGTGTTTTGGCCCTATCCTTGGCATCTGTGGGCCACAATTCAGGAATAAAGTAAAATGGCTGGAGGGGATCAGGGCCCTGGGAGTCCAGGTGTTACTGGGGTGGGTGTCACATTGGGTTGGGCACTGCCAGGTGCTCGTGGCTTCGCTTGTGTATTCCTGGCAGAAGGTCTTGGACTTAAGGTCTTCAAACTAGGGCAGGAGCCATTGGCATGTCCTGGAAGGAGGCAGGGCATAGTCGGCTTTGGAGAGGAGGACCCTAAAGCGAAGAAAGTGGGATGAAAGTAGCAGTCAGGAAATCTGGGTCTTTGTAAGTGATTACTGTGTGACTTTGGGCAGTTGATTTTCCTTCTGGGCTTCAGGTACCCCTTCTCCTGTGATCAGGAGCCAGGAAGGTGGGTGGCTACATTCAGATTCAACACGTTTATTGAGCAACTACTATGTGTTCGCCCCAGTGCTCCTACACTTAAGTCTCATAAAACCCTAAGGTGTGGGTAATAGTGCCCCAATTTTAAAGATGAGGAGATTAAGGCCCCGAAGGGATGACCATCCCAGGGTCTCATGGCAGGTAAGAATCTACATTAGAGTTCTATCCATTCATGATGCAATGTGTCAAGTGTGGACTTTGTGGTCTGATCAAGTCTTCTCTATTTATTTTATGTTTGAAGGGCTTTGTATATAATCATAGAAATAGAAACATCATTATGTAATATATATGTAGTTTACCTATATGTTAATATACATATGCAAATACACACATACATCCACACTTTCAGTGCCTGGAGCATTACTCATTAACATTCTTAGCACCAAGTGAATTATAACGTAAACTTCAGCCACGATATAATTATGGAAGTCAAACCCTTCCCTTTTAACCTTCCTTTACAATTTCACTTTTTTTGTTTTCTTACTCTATTCCTTTCAAATCAGGATAAATCTTCTGCCTTTGCAAATTGTTGTAATATGTGAAAGTGCTTAAGAAATGGGTGTTCTTTTAGCTTTTGGTAAAATCTTTTGATGACTTTTGTTTTAAAAGTAAGTAGCGGTGGCATGATTCCTTATTGTAGACGTTAACGTGACTGCTGCACAAGAAGTGCACATTCTCAGCCCTAGGCTACAAGATACTGTTGGCGAGTCTGCGAGTACCAATACATACTTAAATGTTTCATAAGAGGATGTTTCCTCAAGTCATACTAACTATTCCTGGCTACCATGGGAGCAACTGTGCAGATGAGGGGCAAGTGAGAGGGATCCTGAAAGTTCCTGCAGAGGTCACCTAATCCCATGCTCCTCAAACTGGACATCATATTAGAATCACTTGGGGGAGTTAAAAAATACCCACATCCCATTTACAGCCCAGAGCAATTAAACGAGGGTCTTGGAGATGAGGCCTTGGTGTTTCTTAAAGTTTCCAAGATGAGTCTAATGTACAGACAGGTTTGTGAGCCTCTAATTGAAGCCATGTCTCTACCCATATCTGTCTGTTTATACTTATATTTTATGTCTGATTTTAAAAGACACTCAATGGCCAGGTGTGGTGGCTCATGCCTGTAATCCCAGAACTTTGGGAGGCTGAGAAGGTGGATAACCTGAGGTCAGGAGTTCGAGACCAGCCTGACCAACATGGTGAAACCCCATCTCTACCAAAAATACAAAAATTAGCTGGGCATGGTGTCAGGCACTGGTAATCCTAGCTACCCAGGAGGATGAGGCAGGAGAATCATTTGAACCCGGAGGGGGAGGTTGCAGTGGGCCAAGATCGTGCCATTTGCACACCAGCCTGGGTGTTTTTTTTTTTTTTTTTAGATTAAAAAAAAAAAGACACTCGAGGAAAGGAATTCCGTTTAATCCAAAATGGTAAGCATCTATACACCATTGGTGGGAATGTAAATTACTCAGCCACTGTGGAAAGCAGTGTGGATATTTCTCAAAGAACCTAGAACAGGACTACTATTTGACCCATCAATTTCATTACTGGGTATACACCCAATGGAAAATAAATCATTCTACCATAAAGACACATGCACACATATGCTCATTGCAGTGCTGTTCACAATAGCAAAGACATGGAATCTTCCTAAATGCCCATCAATAATGGACTGGATGAAGAAAATGTGGTGTATATACACCAAGGAGTACCACATAGCCATAAAGAAGAACAAAATCATGTTCTCTGCAGCAACATGGATGCTGCTGTAGGGTATTATCCTAAGTAAATTAACACAGGAACAGAAAACCAAATACCACATGTTCTC